ATAGTTGTTTTTAAGGCAAGTTAAGTGCCTGCAATGGAAATGCACTGTGTTTACTTCAGACTGAAGGTTTAGAAATTGGGGAATAACTGGCCTAGGGGGAATGTCACTAGCTCCATCTAAAAAAAGCCTTGATATCTTGGGATGGCTTTGCTGTGTAAGAGTTGTTGCCAACAAGCTCCATTCAGGAGATCTGATGCAATGTCACAACCTAGTTCATTCAGCTCTATAGACAGCATATCGGAAGTAAATAACAGTCGGGGCCAAGGAAGAGAAAGTAATGTTATTCAAGAAAAGAACCCACTCAAACTTTTCCTGTTGGTCAAATATGTAAGGTGAACAGCCATAAACTAAATGAGTAATGTAAATAATTAATTAATCTGGGGAAGTTAAGATTCTCTCATAATGAATGTGAATAACAGATATGTGAAATATTTCAGATTGGCCCACAATAAGTGGTATTTGATGAGAAGTATAGGGCATTAAAAAAAAAAAAAGATGTCCATAAGGAAGCTGAACAGTAAAAGTGAGGAATGAAGGAGAGAAATTAAGAAATGGGGGTTTAAAGAGATGACTTTAATAGTTCACAGAAGGAAAGATAGTTGAAACCTTAATTAAACCAATCCACATCTGTTTTTAAACAGAACTTAACACTAGCTATTTTCTATGCTTAAGACACTTTCCTCCCTCACTAATACCTAACTTTCTTTCAGTTTAACTTTCTACTTTTTAAATGAAATATTTTATAACTACGTAGGCTCACAAAGATTTCTCCTATTCTAAGGCCTCTTCCTGTATCCATAGACACATTATTTGTATAAAGAAAGGTCTTCTATCCCAATCAGAGGATAAGCTGAGGTTGATTTTCCCAGTCTTTGACTCTGGGCTGGCCCTGTAACCAGTATTAGCCAACAGAAAGTGGTGGGAATGATGGCTTGCTATGTCCAGGTGTAGACCTCAAGTGGTCTGCACATTTCCCTGTGCTCTCTTGGGACCTACCGATATGCCACGTGATTAGACCTGGGTCAGGCCGCTGGATGACAAGATCATCACATGGAGCAGAGAAAAGTCAGTCTGGCTAAGGCATCCTAGACCAGGCAGTTCCCAATCTAGTACTCGACCTCAAGGTATGAGTAAGCCCACTGAAACCATCCAAATTAAGATAGAGATAAATAATCTGCAGAAACATGAGATAAATAAATGGTTCTTCTACTAAGATAATACGTTTCAGGGTGCTTTTTAAATGAGCAAAACACACTGAAATAACTGAACCATACACAATGGCTTGATCCTTCCAATGTAATACTTATTATAGTATGACATATTAAGTATTTGGTGATCACCTATTTGCTCCTGGAGGACACAAACTGTAGTATATACACTATATATATATATAAATATATATATACTGTACTTGTATACTGTATATATATACTGTAGTATATATACTGTATATGTATATGTGTATGTAGACTACTGTATATACAGTATATATACTACAGTATATATATATATCAGTGTATATACAGTATATATATATGTATGTGTGTATATATATATATATATATATATATATATATATATATATACACACACACACACACACACATACTGTGTACTCCCACAGCACCTGGGTTGTGCTTTGTTCAAAGCAGACACTCAGAATGTGATAAAATAAGCCGAAATGAAAATCAAGTGAAGTTCAAATTCTAATGTTCATCAGCAGTATCTACTTAATTTTTAACAACAGAAGAAAAATACAAGCCAAAGCACTGTTAAAGAATCAAATCACTGCTGAGAATCTACTATTGGCCTTGTGTTGTAATTCCCATTATGAAGCATTAAGGGTTGGCAATTACTAGTACTTGGGAGTGTACATGCCACTTCAAGATCATTAATAAGCAAGCCCTCTAAGTTGTCCTTGTCAAAAGTTAACATTAACCCAAATTTGGATTTTGATAGAAATTTGCACATATATTTGACACATGAATGTGAAGTTGTATACTGCAATCCTAATTTCACGAACTTAGAAGTTTAGAAAGCATAAAGTGGCAAAGGAGATTTTGATTTGTACTAATTCACATTATGAACAGTAGGCTTTCTAAGTGCAAAAGTCTGACACATGAGATAAATATGTTCACGTGCTTAACTATAAAGCACTCTACACGTGTAAAGTATCATGAAAGCTTGTACATTCAAAATGTCATTTCATTCTTTCTTACTGAGAATAGACAGGGCAGGTGGGAAAGGATGAATAGTGTTGCTGTCCATATCTAATTTGCTTCCTAACTGAATTTCCATAGCTTTTAAATGACACTCTGCTATTACAGCCTATACAGAGATGATCTCATCAAATATTGTTTTGATTATTTTAAAAATTATCATTCACTAAATAGTGTCTGACACACTCTAAAGCAAGAGAACATGAAAGTATAATCAGAATGAGTATGCTCATAAACCAGTGAGGCAGACACAGTCAATGACTGTAAAAGAATCCTCTGCAACTGTGGTGTCCTGCATGGGTGTATACGCTATAACCTGCTCTAACTATAACTCCTTCCTTTAACTTCTGCCTTGCCTGTTTAATATTGTTATCTCAGACTAAGACGGGACATGATAATGAAATCAGTTACTAAGCTAGAAAACTGAATCAGGACCTAAAGAGGTTGGGACCAGCTGGAATGATAAAAATCTATGCTGTTAATAGTATGAAAGAAAGATTAAACCAACTGTAGAAGGACTACATGAAGAATGGGTAACAATGCTACACGTGACAAAGACTCAATTACTTGCAGGGAGGATGCTCAATAAATCAGAAGAAGCCTGTCCCCCAAGGTTCTCTCCTTATGGTTTGAACATTTCCACAGTTCAGAAGAAGTCTCCTTTTAAAAAGATGCTCATTTAAAATAAGTTATGAGAATGACAAGGAGGAACTGCAAAGGGATTAATATTTGCAGCATGGGATGTGGAGAGATCATTTTTCTCACAATGATTCAATCTATATGAAGCCTGCTGCTAATGAGACACAGTCTGAGAGCTGAGGAAGTTTTTCAAATGATCCAGGTGAGAAAAACTTTAAGCTACTTTAACAGAGACAGCTATACCTAGAAATTAGGTGATAGATTCAATAGGGAGAGGCAGATTCTTCTTATTCGTACAATTTTGAAGTTTTGGTTTCTCCTGCTAAAACATCATAAAAGGAACTCTGAGAACAGAAATGTAACAGCAAACAGGAACTTAAGCATAAGCAACAGTCTCACTGAGAGCTCCCAAGTTTTTGAGCATTCATCCACGGCTCAGATCCACCTTATTTTGGCTGTGCTTTCTAACTTACTCCCTTAGTTAACATTTTCTGTGACCACTAGTTGCTTTCCATAGGGACCAAAACCACAGACTAGAGGAATGACCAAGTTTCCTTCTAATGAATAGCGAGAAAGGAAAAAATTTTCCTTGGATATGTCTCTCCAGTGAAATTCAGTGTCTGCTTTCCAAGAAAAGCCAATTGGCTCAGAAGCGTCTCAGAAGAAACAGGGGAGAAAAGTCCAACAGATAACCCTTCCACAAAACCCCAAAGCAAAATCCCAATCTTTCAGCTTCACATCAGCCAAAGGGTTAAAACCTGTCCCCATTGAGTTGCTGAATCCACAGGTGGAAGGTCATAAGTGTGGAAAGAGATACTCACAGCTCCATTTGTGACCATGCTGGGAAAGCCTTTATGTGTAAGAGAACCCCCACCTCGGCCCCCAAATATTAAGTTGACACACGTTTCTGGGACGCGGCCTGAATCCTCAAACTTTGGCGGGTCTACAGAGACACAATTTTCTGTTTTCTGCTTAATAGGGCTTTCCAGAATTGTCATCAGATGACAGATTACACCACTCATCCACAAGGATTCAAGGGTAGCTCAGGCCATCCATTACGGGTTAAAAGCTGTTCCAGCATGAATCAAGTCACAGTGGTAAGGAGACTACCAATACAAGGGGTCCTATAGCTTTAAGAAATACTCTGGGCATCTAAAAGTTTTCAGAATGCAAACTATGTCAGCTCTGAAAACAAGAGGCACTGCATCATTATGGCAGGAGAAACAAAGCCAGCCCCTTTTTTAAAACAGACAAAAAAAAAAAGATTGTTTTAATAGGAGAGAAGCATCAGTCATTGATTCTTACTTCATTCACACTTTCTATCCAACCCCATCCATCTTCAGAGTGAAGAGATGACAGAGCCCAGTGAACTCTCTCCCTCTTTTGGCCCCCGCCCATCCTATTCCTCTCCACCCAAACCACCGAGGCCTACCAACCTACCCATTTCAATCCGCAAACAACGGCCCTACAAAAAGACTCTTTCCACCTGATGGGCTTGCAACGTTCAGTACGCCCAAGGACCAGCTTTCATCAACAGCACTCAAATGGGGTTGCCCGTCAGGTTAGCATGACTGGATGGGGCCTTTGCTAATCGTCTTCTAAAACCACCACTTAGTCACTCATGGCTAACCACATTCTACAAAGGAGGGGATGGGAAGACTGAAGGCAACAGAAAAAAAGTCAACAGGCCAAACCAACAAGCCAGAATGTCAAATATTTCATTTTTCTTAAATGTTGCTGCCCACATTATCTGCAAACAAAAGTCCTCCGGGCAGGCAATGCCTGCATCAGTGCACCTGCTCCGCATTGGTTTCCCTGAGTTATCTTTTTGCTGTGTCTGCAGAAGCCATCTATAGCACAATGGATCACATCACTTGAGGGTCACTTGAGTCCCTCTACTCTCTGGGTCCCTCCTCCCACCTCCTGCCTTCCCTTCCACCCACAAAACCTTTAACTCCACCATAGCTAAGGATCCCAGATAGCTAAATAAAAGAGGTGGCCTCAAACACAGGGAAAAACCCTTAGGTCTCCAGTGTGAATCGCCAACGCCAAGCCCCCTCCCCTCCCCTTTTCCTTAAGACCTGATGGTCTTCAGTCACACATCTTAAAAGAAAAACAAAAAACAAAAACACAAAGACTTACTTGTCTCAAGTCGATGAAGGCCAACTGCAGCGTGTCCTCCTGGAACCCAGGCACCGGGCCGGATCTGGCAAACTCTGTGGGAAAGAAAAGAGGATAAAAAGCGCCTTTAACTAACCATGGACAGGGAGATTGGCAGACGGATGACAGGGAAGACAAGAGAGGCTGGGGGAGAGGAGGACCAAGCTTCTAAGGAGTCATGTCTTTCTGCCTTCAGCTTCTTTGTGTGCCCTTCAAAATTCGTGTCATCAAAACACCATTAATTCCAGCATCCTGACAGCAAGGAAACTGTACTAATTCGACCTGAAATTTATTCCCATGAGCTGCGCTGGGCTTCAGAGTATTTGTTTTGTGAATGGACAAACAACTTGCAAAGGAGGAGGGGGTGGGGGAGAGAAAAAAGTTTTTCCTCTCAACACAATAAAATCTTCAGCTGTGAACCTCTTTTCAGTTCCGAAAGCTATTTATATTTCAGATCGCTGAAGGAATTCTCTCATTTCACGCCTGTCACCTCATCCCCCGAGCATTTATCAAAAAATATTCCCTGCCACATCATTAATTATTCCTTCACTGATTATTTGTATTATCTCATGACTGCATTATTGCCAACACACACACACACACACACACACACACCCAGCAGAAGCTGTCCTGATCCACTGCTTGGCTCTTGAGCAAAGGAGTATTGCAGATATGAAAAGGCCCATCTAAATAAATCTCACGGCAAAAGCTTAGGGAACATTTGCACACGTCTATCCTATGAATGTATTCTTGTATTCTTTGTCCTTGACTTCTAATTCTTTTCCATTCTCGAAAATTCTTTCTCTTCCCTCTATCCAAATTTAGTCTTAGGTCAAAGAGACCACATGAATGCTATTTGCAACTTACAGTAGCGCCTTGGGTACCTGCTTGGTTTATGACACTGGCTTTCTACATCGTTAACAAGAAGATCACTGTGCGAGGCTATAGGGACAAACTTGTAACAGTTAAGAATGTCAAGTTTTATCGTCCCTAAGCCCTGCTTATTATGAAATCAAAAGGTCTCATTTAAGTTCCCTACACACACACACACAGAAAATTCAAGAGTTGGACAGTTACTATGTCTTAGATTCTCTCTCAAAAGCCCAAGTGTGATGGACACTTAACATCAATTTACTATTTACCTCAAAAACAACTCGAGTGTTGGCTCAAAGCAAATATGAAAAGGAATGTTTTCCTTTCAATTATGTTTTTCTCCAGGAATGAATTTAAGAAATTCTACAGACCTGGTATACTTTTCTTTTGAAATTAAATAAAATCCATCAAGGTTTTTGCATAAACGCCTGGAAAATTACTTGCAGCATCCAGTAGCAGGAAAGATTTAAATGATGATTGGTGAACAATTATAGGAATTCCTGTTTTTAAAAAGTATTTTCCATCTGGGGCTTCTTAGAATATAATAGGTTTTCATAATGTCCTTGCCCCACTTAAAAAAAATAATGCTGACAAGTTAAGTTGCAGGGATTATGGAAACATCATGTGAAATGAAATTGAATACAATTTATTAAACTAATAGAGAGCACAAATGATTCTACAACTGTACAGAAAATATTATTTTAGACATTTCAATAAAAACGACTGTTGTAAGTGGAAGGAGATAAACTCTAGCATGATTAGCAGCGCTAGATTTCTAATTGCTTTGAAAAGGAAGTTCAAATGCCATTTGTAAATGAATTCTATCAAATTACAGCCCAAACGATTCAAGTTTTAAAAAAGCAAAATTTACAACTGTACACATTCTTGATGAGGGCCATGTTAATAGAAAGCCTGACATAACCCATCCTTTTTATCTTACAACTGCCATTATGCGTGCTAACCTTGGAGATAGCAGCTGCTCAAGTCAGATGTACAATTTTCCCATACTCTGTTCTTACAGAAAACAGTTCTTTGAATCATGGCCACAGCTACTCTTTCTGACAGCCTTGATTGTCAGTGGTCGGTTTAAATAAGCTTCCTATGCCTGGTGGGTTGCATCCAAGGTCGGTATAGTCTTCCTCTATTGCTCCTGCATGAGTGGAGGCTATGTTGCATCATTTGAGGTAATGAAGTCCTTTCTGTTAGTAGGAACCTTTCTTGAGTCAAAAGTAGCAGCTATCAAGGTGTTCTGCTTACCTATACATGTCCAACTTAACAGGATTACCCTCTGATACGTATTTTAAATGCTTGAGAGCTGGCTACACATTCTCACATCTCCTTGAGCATGCTCCCTGAGGCGAAAGGATGACACTGCTGAAACCACACAGATTCCTGGGTGTGATACATATTTAGTTTTCAGAGTCTCACTTTATGGGCCTCATTTTTATGACCACTGAATCTTCCAGGTTCCCAGAGGACACAGTGGCCTTTCAGATTTGATTCTCCTTTTATAAATCAGTGAATTAAAGAAGGATAACTGCATCAAGGAATGGCAAAGAGACTGACTTCACATACAGTTTATGGAAATGTCTAATTACTGTATTTTCAGCTTCATGTTTATATTTTTACTCATTGTTTTATGTATATAATTCTCGTCTTCCCATGTGGATAAGTAAACTCCTTAAGGAAAAGGACCATATCACTGAACCTAACAAGTATTTAAAATAGTAGATGTCTAACAAATACTCATATATTAATTAAATAAGTTACAAAAACAGAAAGATTTGTTAATCACACATACTCTTCACTACCAATGAAGATCCTTGGATTGCAATAGGCAATGTGTCCTTAACATGAGTATCAATAAGCAGGCTTTAGGAAATTATGAGCTCCTTAGAATTGGTACACAATGATTAAGGGGATGGGTTTTGAGGTCATAAATATTAGAGACTGAGCCCAAGATATTGGGTCTATGGGCACGGGAAAATTACCTAATCTCCTTAAAGCTTCAATGTCTTTTTCTCAAAAATGAAGAAAACAGTGCATTCCTTATAGTACTACTATAAGGATTAAATGAAATAACACATATAAAGCAGTTGGCAGAGTGCCTGGCATATCATAATTGATTATCATTACAATTAGTTTTTTGTGTGAACATACAGTTCTCTGGGAAGAAGGTTCATAGCTTTCACTGAATTCTCAGAGGGCTGGTGACCAAACAAAAGTTAGTGAAACACTGTTATATATCCAGGACAAAACATTAGAACTAATTCAGCTACCATTCAGTGATGAGTTAGTGAGTTGACACTGCAAATTTATCTATAGGCAAACATTTAAGTCTTTCACTTAAAAGAAGTTGATATGACTAATTAACAGTACATTAGCCACAACACAGTAATTTTTATTGGTGTTATTTAAGAATTGCAATAAATGCATAAAATAGATATCCTGTAATTTTCTGATGCAATATACCTTTAAAAACATGGTGTTCTAGAGTCCATTCTTTAGATATATGAAAAGTGCTAATAGCATAAGAAACTGTGACTATTCTAAATAAATGAGCATTTGTGTACAGTCTGACTCCAACTATATAAAATATAACATGCATAGAAAACACAACAGTAAGTACTCATCTCACAATGTTAACTGAGGCTGTTACAGAAAGAAAGATTACAAGAGGGCTTTATTCCTCTTTATATTTTATAAACTTTTATTTATTTGTTTTTTAATTTTTATTTATTTATGATAGTCACACAGAGAGAGAGAGAGAGAGGCAGAGACATAGGCAGAGGGAGAAGCAGGCTCCATGCACCGGGAGCCCGACGTGGGATTCCATCCCGGGTCTCCAGGATCGCGCCCTGGGCCAAAGGCAGGCGCCAAACCGCTGCGCCACCCAGAGATCCCTATTTTATGAACTTTTAAAATGAGTACAGACCACTTTCATAATCAAAGAAAAGGAAACAACACGCACACATGCACACACACCAAAATTAGGCGCTGATTTAGTCATACTTTGTCTAGTAATGAGAGAGATAACTTGTTCAAGATTTAGCAGTACGGGCAACTGGGATTGGTCTGCACACCCAAATTCCCAGATGCTGCTTGATAGAAAGAGAAGACTCTAGGTTGGTGGGGGGCAAAAAGCCCCAGTCTATATAATAGACGCTTATACAAATTGACGCCTACACATAAACATTAAGAAGCGTCTCTTTAGCGTCACAAATGGAAACTTTCCTTTTTTGAAATCATAAAAAGGGGTACAAGTATGCAATTGTCACTGAGTGGAACCAATGTACATATGGGGCACAAGAAACAAGTCCCTTTCTGGACTTGTCTCTGGATTCCAAGATCCATAGCAGGTTTGCAGTCTCCTAAGTGTTTGTTTCCAACACCAGTGTTTTCCAAAGCCTGGAGTTCTATAGAGTAGCCTCAGCATTGCAAGACTAGCAGGTGCTTGCTCTATTACACACAGACCCAAACCCGGACCTTTGACCAGCGTATGTTACGCAGCGTATGTTACCAAGTCAAGGTCCCAATGAGGCTGGCAGGAAAGCTCCCTCTTCATAACTTGGTTCAGATTAGTGGAGCCCAGGACTATCACTGACACATTTTGCAGAGAGCTCTGCTCTGCCTGGCAGCTCTTTCCTGCCCTTATGCCACCACAGGAGGGACTCTCAGAGTTGAAGCTGCTATGGGGGCTTGTCTCCAAGAATCAATTTGCAAATGTGAAAAATCTTTTGGTGAGGAAACTGTCAACTCACTTAAGTTTATGAAGAAAATATTTTTATTAAAAAAATGAAAAGGAGGTGTAAAAGTTACAGAAAAGAAGGCTTATTGTTAAGTGAAGGTACAGCAGGGAAATTAAATCACACACAAAAAGCATTTTACTTATTTCTCTACATTCTCATACACACTTCAATTTAGGAGGTTTGGCAATCATTTTATTTTATTTTATTTTATTTTGGCAATCATTTTAAAAAACAGTATTAATTTATGAAAAATATTCTGTAGGTTTACATTCCTAATAATCTTCACATTATAATGACATAAAATTACCGAAAGAGATTAAGAAAGGATTCCATTAATTTTAAAATGCTTTCTAGATGTCTTGACGGCTGATCTTATAAATTAACTAACACTGTCACTTAGAGGAAGAAGGAAAAAAAACTTTAAAAACTTGAAA